AGAACAGCTCCCTATGTGGTCCAGGCTAGCCTCACCCAGCCTTGCAGCCTTCCTCCAGCTTTCCAGAGCACTGAGATTACATGTGTGCACCAACCACGAGCACCCGTCACACCGCCGCAGGACTCAGATTTTGTGGCTCTAGGATGGGAACCTGGAACCTGTTTTTTTTTTTTTTTTTTTTTTTTTAAAGGAGTGTTTAAGAAAGCAGACATTCTGTTGATAAGGGAGATGGGTTACTATAAGAAAATGCCAAGTAGTCTACAAGTATAGGAATGTTGTTCAATCACTTTCCCCTGGGCTGAGTTCTAAGGTATAATCTGCCTGTTAAGCTTTTGAACAAAGATTACTTTATGTTAGTTTTATGCTTTTTTCATAATCTGAATCTGTGGACTATATTTGTAAATAAGCAACTAGCCACTTGACAATGCCAGAAAAGCATCCAAGGAGACTGTTGCTTGTCAGTTTAGTAGTGGGATGCGACTGTTTGAGCTTTATTAACCAGTGCCCTTGTGATGTCTCCACAGGCAATGGTGGCTTGCTATCCGGGAAATGGAACGGGTTATGTTCGCCATGTGGACAACCCCAATGGTGACGGCCGCTGTATCACCTGCATCTATTACCTGAATAAGAACTGGGATGCCAAGGTACCATAGAACACGGGCATGTGTGTGGGGCTATATCTCATAAAGGGTTTTCCAGTTAGGAAAAGAATTCAGGTAACTTTGGGAGAGTTTTGAGTTCTTAATCTCCCCGTCTCCATGGCTTCATGGTTTCCTTCCCCTTCACCTACGAAATTGGTACTAAAGTTGATGAGATTAAAAACAGTGGCTATGAAGTTAATTTTGGGGGGGGGTGGTCAAGATGGGGGAGGGAGGTAATTTAACATTAGGATGCAGAGCTGATGTGACTTGGCTTAGCATATGGCGTTTACTTTCCCTTTCAGCAGCACTGAGAGAATTCCACAAACGGTCCCTGAGAGGGGTTTCCCACACAGTTCTCTTTCTCAGGGTAGCACGTCCCAAGGGTGGCTGCCGTAGCTTGCCATGGTTTGTGAATGACAGAGAGGCTGTGTGGCTTATCTGTGGCTGATTTGATGGTGGAGAAAGAGATGTAAAGTCTGGTTCCACACACCATGTTCTGTGAACATTGGGTCTGTTCTTTGTATGCTCTCTGAAGATTAAGATGATTTAGGAGTCCGGGAAGCCAGAGAACTTTATAAGCTTATTTGACTTTTGAACCTTGTGTGTTTCTCTGTCCTGTTCATTAGAGCAGAGTCTGGCTGTCATAACGCAATATTGTATGTGGGGTCAGAGAAATGAACCTAGAAAGCCAGTGACTGGGTGAGACGGCTCATCTGTCCTCTCTGCTGGGTAATATGGCTGAAACTGGTCCTTTAGATCTTTTCAGTCTTTTGGGTACTGTGATGTGCAAAGTCATTGTACCAATAATGATAAATGAGAAAGGATGAAATCAACAAATAGAGTTTCTGCCCAGTGTCAGATGCGTGCTGTGTAGAAACATTGATGTGTGAAGCCTGATTTCTACCCAGAATGTAGTTATTCTAATAGGACAGTTTGTGTATACGTGTAAAAAAGAAAAAGTGTTTCAAGAGAGTGTTGGATGTCATAAAAGGTGTAAATGAGGTGGTCTGAAGTTGAGGGCAAGGAACCTGTAGTGTCGGCCAGTGAGGTCAGATGTATGTGTGGAAAGTTTTGAGGAAAGCGGCTATCAGGTGTGATGGGTGGCTTCAGAAACTTAGTAATGGATGGGACTGTGTGAAATTGCTAGGGATTTTTGTCTGTTTTTTAGGCTGAAACAGTCTGACATAACTTTTTTTTTTTGAGACAGGGACTCACTATGTAGCCCCAGTTGGCCTGGAACTTGCCATGTAGACCATCTCAGGCTGACCCCCATCTCACAGCCTGCCTCTGTCTCCTGGGTGCTGGGATTAAAGGTGCACCATCTTGGTAAACAGGAGCAATTTGGTCTGGTAGTCCTTTGCTTTGTGTCTGTGGGGTTTCACAACTGTGAGAGTGGGAAGTTGGATACAAAGTAACAGGAAGTAAGGATTTGAAAGTAAAACCCACTTGGAATTGAGGTAGGGGTAGCCTTTTTTCCTTGATAGGTCTCACATATCATTCATTACTGATAAACTTCCTATGAGACCACGAAGTAATTAATCATCTTTTTGGCCTTCAGCTACATGGAGGGATTCTCCGGATATTTCCAGAAGGGAAATCCTTCATAGCAGACGTGGAGCCCATTTTTGACAGACTCCTCTTCTTCTGGTCGGATCGCAGGAACCCACACGAAGTGCAGCCTTCCTATGCAACCAGGTAATAGCCAGGGCTGTAACCTCTCTTCAGAAGCTTGTACAAACCCCAGATCCCAGAGAATTCTCAAAACTCACGTCCTGTGCACAACAGGGGCTGGGCGCACCCCAAAGCTCATAGGTAAACTTGCTTGGAGTGATAGAAATTAAAGGAGAATCTTTAGGATTCGGCAGCATACAAATATAACCTGTTTAAAGTAGCTGTTAACATTGCTTTCTGTGAGTTAAGCGTATTGAAATCTCAGTTTCTTAGAGTGTGTTTCTCTCCTGCCCTCACTTCCTTCTTCCCCTGTAAAAAGAAGAGCTAATGTTGGGTTCATGGGCTATTCCTGTAATTCAAGCCCTGGAAGATGGAGTTCAAGGCCAGCCTGGGCTAAGTGAGACCTGTCACCCAAACAACAAATAAAATAACAACAGAGATCCAATGTTGAACTATCCCCAGAAAATGCTGGCTGACACACATCAAAATTTCTGGTTCTTGGAATGAGTGTATAATTTGTCAGGTTAAAAAACAAAACAATTTCCCAGTTTTAAGCAGAGAAGGAACTTTGAGAAAACAAAGACTAATTTGTTCTGATTTCTTTTCCTTTTTACGCTTTCCTTAGCGTAATGTTAGTCTGGGCTAGCTGTGTCCAGGCTATAACAATTGAATAATTTGGTTTTGCTTATTTATTTGTTTGTTTGCTTATTTTGAGATTGAGTCTCTTATCAGGCTGGCCTAAAAGTAGCCAAAGATGCCCTAGAGTTTCTGAGATTCCTGCCTCCACTTCCAGAATGCTGGGATTACCCGGTGTATGTCACCATACCCAGTCTCTGTGATGCTGGGGGTCAAACCTAGGGCTTTATACCTCCTAGGCAAGCATTTTACCAACAGACCCATACTGAATATTATTTATTTATTTGGTGCGTAGACTTTCAGAGTCACTGAACAGTTTAGAACTGTTTATTCTTAATTTAGAAAGCTGTGATGAAAATCTTAATCTCCTGCCTCTAATTTTCCTTTATCTTGCAGCAGGACTGTGGGCCAGGAGTGAATGGAGTGGGGTGGGAGTGTTACTTAGACTGGTAACAGCAGTCGAGGAGAGCTGGGATGGTGGTGCTAAAAATCTTAACAAGCCTAATTGAGTTAAGCCTTGTGTTTCACCCTCCAGACATCACTGATCTGGGCCCTAGACTTAACGGATTCAGTCACACTGCAATCTACTCTGTGCAGGCAGGTCACTAGTTCTGCCAATGGAAGTCTGCTTGTGGCTTGCTTTATGGGGTTCAATACTAGGACCCTATTTTTGTGGCAGAATTTTCTAGTTATTTCCCAGCCCTGCCATGACCAACTTCACAAAGTAAACAAAGCAAAGGTGGATTTGAAGCCCTGGGGGTCGGGGTGCAAAGGGGTTTGGATCAAGTAGTTAGAGATTACCATGGCTAATAGTAACTATGAAAATAAAGCCCAACATGAAATAGGTAAAGCAGGTAACAGGAAAGCTTGACATCATCATTACTGAACTGCATCTGTGCCCCAGTGTCTAAAAAGGAAACAGACCCTGAGTTGTCAGTGCTCTGTGATTTATTTCTGAAAGGTTCACTCAGATGTCATCTCCTTCCTCCCATCATCTTGAGCTACCCCCTCCCCTCCGCCCCCAGTCTTAGAAGGGTGAAACTCTTCCAGCTCTTTCTGTGCAGGTTCCATTTGCTTACCGATCACCGCTGGAACCTGAGATCTTGGGGAGAAAGGAGGTTGGAGTGGCAGCACCATTTGAATTCCCATTGCTTGGGATCATGCCTGGCACATACCTGGGACTCCTGTGTTATGACATTTACGTAGAATTGAGGCCGGAGGAAGTAAATTTAAATTAAAATAGAAGCGGGCTTCCGATAAGAGAGGGAACTTTACGTGACGGTTTTTAAGTGGCAAGTGTGAGGCTTGCACGGTCAGCTGCCCTCTTACAGGTCCTTAAGTCTGCTTTTCTCTCTCAGGTACGCTATGACTGTCTGGTACTTTGATGCTGAAGAGAGAGCAGAAGCTAAAAAGAAATTCAGGAATTTAACTAGTATGTATTTGATCATTTTCGGTATTTGATATTTTCTAGTATTTCTTGATCATTTGATCAAGTCAATCTATGACTTTAATTTTACATATTTTATAACATACTGTGTTTACTCCCAGGTGTGACTTAGCTTCATATGTAATGAAATTGAAACTTTGGTCTTGGTAGTCTTAAATTAAAATTCAGAAAAAATAACGGCATTTCCCCCTACATTCCCAAGGATGCCCACTAATTATATGCTGGTTTATAATAGTAGAAATAATTCACTTTTTATTGTGAATGTTAATTATTCATGTTAATCAGTCATGGGAAGTACTAAAGTTTACCATGATTTGTGCACATTACACAGAAAATTTACTGATATTTAGCTACAGTGACTCATTGATTAAGTTGATGTGGGGTTGTGACCCTCAGTGTGAAACCAGGAATCATATACTATAAAGTAAATATGATTCAACAGCATTCCTGTCCCTTCTAACCAGTTCTATGAAACATCTCAAAATATATTGCACTAGGCTTGGTGTGGTAGTTCATGCCTATAATCCCAGCACTCTGGGGGCTGAGGCAGGAGAATCATGAGTTCAAGGTCAGCCTGACCTATATAGTGAGACTATATCTCAAATTCTACCCTCTCCCCCCTACCCCGCCAAAAAAAGTTGTACAAAACTACTAGTTCTACCAAGGTGGATTTCTGGCCCTCCAAATGTAGGAAGTACTGTTTACCATAACCCTCGAACAGTGACAGGATGAGCTGGAGAGATGGCTCAGTGGTTAAGAGCACTGGCTGCTCTCGCAGAGGACCTGGGTTCAGTTCTTGGTACCCACATGGCACTAACAACTATCTACAACTCCAGTTCTTGGGGATCCATTGTCCTGTTCTGGCCTCTTCAGGCATTTGCATACACTGCAGCACCCACATAACAGCTAACCTTCCGTAACTTCAGTTCTAGGGGATCTGATGTCCTTTTCTAGCCTCTCCAGGCATTGCATACACATGGTGCTCTTACATGCAGGCAAAACTTTCATACACATAAAGTTTTTAAAAAAGTTTTTTTTGTTTGTTTGTTTTGTTTTAAGTGACAGGGCTCATTAGCTTATGAAATTAACTCCCTGAGAAATCTCACAGTAAAAGCTCAGAGGTAGGTGCTTGCCTATGTACAAGGCCCTAGGCTCAATTCCCACCACTAATAGATAAATAAGGAGATGTATGTCTCTTGTTAAGAAGTAAATATAACATCGCCCAGTCCATGGCCTATTTAGACTCCATACTTATCAAACACCAAAAAAGACACCTGGCATATTTCAGTGAGGAGGCTTAATTTGCTTTATAAAGTGGGAAGTTGTTTACTGGAGGGATTTGGTTTTTTGTTGTTATTGTTGTTTGTTTTATTTTGCTTTGTCGTTGCTTTTATTTCTGTGACATTTGTGACATCAAATTTGACTTTCTAACTTCTTTTCTGTCCTCAACCCAGGGAAGACTGAATCTGCCCTCTCTGAAGACTGACTGTGTTCTGAAATCCACCGGCCCTGCTAGTAATGGTTCCTGAATTCCTTTTAAGAGATGAGATCCAAAGATGGCCTCCACAGAGACCGTGAAAGGCCCGTACTGCTTGCTCGTTCACATCCCTGTCTTGTGTGTGGTACTTCGTGTTTTCTACCAGGACTTGAGACACTCTCTGCCAGATAAACTTGGTTGCTAACTCCAGAAATACCTGCAGACCTCCTTGCTGGCCGGCAGTGTGACCGATGGATTTGGGACTATAGCTGCTGAACCAAGAGCCCTGGAGCTGGGAGAAGCGCCTACTTGCACTTTATGTATGCTTCCCAATTTGAAAGGAGGAGGTTTCAAGAAAGAGAAAAAACCCAATATGGTGACGGATGCCGCAGAGAATCACCCATGAAGCCTTAACAGCAGGAAACAGAAATTTGTGTCATCTGAACAATTTCCAGATGTTGTTAATCTGGGACTGTTGGGGTTTCTGGAGAATTATGACGACCTAATGACATTATTACCTCTAGAAAGGGCTGCTGTCACAGTGATCAGTTTGTAAGGGGTGGGGGTGGGGACGGACGGACACGCCTTTCCTGGTCCTACAACCTGGACTTGACTTTTGCCCCATTTTGCTGAATTAGTGACTTTCCGATTGAAGAGGACAATGCCACTTACTCTGTATTTTCACTCCTTTCTTGGAGAACCTAATTATCCAGAGAATAAAACTAGATGTGTGGTTTGGGTTGTTTGCTGTAATTGGGCTTTGAATTTAAATTAAGGGCTAAAACTCTCCCTGGTAATTTAGTGCTAGCAAGAGCAAATTCTAGTGATAGACAGTAACTGTGGATGTGGCGAACAGCTTCGGGGGAAGATGGGCTTGGAAACGTAGATCCCCGTTTCTCGGTGCTCCTTTTTAAGGAGCACATCCTCCTTAGCAACAGAAAGAAGCTGAAATTCAAACATCTCATGGCTGTTTGAACCCCTCCCCGTGGCCTTTCCCGCCAGCCTTTCCTTAGCCAACTTGACTCTCTGGAGCAATTGGTTGGTAGTGTGGTCAGAAATTGCGGGATTTGCTAGGACTGTGGAAAGCCTCACTGCTTGTGGGAAGCAGGTACCACTCCTCAAGTGCTCCTTATCAAGCACCCGTTTTTATTGACATTACCCCTCCTAGTTTTCATTTCTATTTTTATGTCTTTTAAATCCCTTTAACTTATTACGTGACTTCCATGGACATTACAGAATCAGAAATACTTTATTTTGTCACATTCATCCATACAGACTTTCCAAGAAAGAAGTTTGTTTTTTCCTTTTATGGCTTTGGAAAACGTCCAGAAAGAACTTGTCATCCTGTTCTCACAACTGCTCTATTTTATTTTATTATAGTTCTTACCACCTTCTAAATTACCACATCATTGACTTATTTATTATGTTGTCTTGTGTCTTTCATCTGGAGTGAAGGCAATGAAGACAGGGATTTTGTATGGTTTTAATCAATGCACTATATTGGCCGCACTAAACAGTGCCTGGCTTATAGTAAGGGCTTAGTAAATCCTCTGAATAAACTTGGTCTCCTCTGAATTTTTACTCCTACATCTTTACTATTTGGATTGTGTGCATTTATTTATTTGAGTATGCCCCTCACACCTCCTTAGCCAGCGCTCTCCCACTGAACTGCATCACACAGCCTGTCACTGTTGATACAAACTTTGGCTGAGAGATTCTGAAAACTCTGGTCATAGTCTCATTTCTTGTTTATCTGTAAACAAGTCATTCACAGGAATAGTATTTCCATTTAGTGTCGTGGTTGTGAAACAGGAGTATGAAAAGGTAGCTTAAGGTAGGACACAGTAAATAAACTCTTCCTTCAGAGTAAATTTTAAAAACTCAATGTGGAAGGAAGGGAGGGAAGTTTGCGTATTAAGAATCCTACGTTCTGTAAAACTGTATTTTTGGGATCGCTAATGTCTTGAAATGATAGTGACAGTATTCTGAAGGAATGTCTTGTAGCTCAGTACTGTGTTCTGTATTTCCTTCTTCATTTTAACAGTATTTTGACTCTGCAAGAGATCTGACCCATTAGCCTTTGCATACTCTTTCCAAAGGTCCTGTAAACTAATAAGCCGTACAGCAAATCACTTTTCGTGCACACTAATTTTTCATGGCTGATTTGAGCCCTACTAGACTGCCCTGGACAATGCAACTTGACTTCTGCTCTTTCACTTTGACAGCCCACTTAGGCGGGGAACTCGGTCCTGCTGAAGAAATGTTATTTGGCAAATAATCTGATCAATTTCATCTATATTCCTGGCAATAAAATGTTAAGAGCCTACCTCACCGTTACATCATCTGAATAGAGCGGGTTCCTTAGGAGGAGATTAAATTTGGAATCAAAGATCCAATTTCATGGAAATAAAAAGTCTTACCTAAATGTATTTAAAAATCTTTAGTAGTTCATACCAATTAAATTTTAGGCTGTCTGAATCATGAATTATCCACTCAGAAATTATTTTCTTCTTTAAATAACTCAGGTTTTTAAGAGACTGGGCCATCCTAACTTCTCTCGGCCATTCGCTCTTGAAATTTCCTGTGTTGCTTTAGAAAGCAGTGATGGGAAATGCCTGCTTGGTCCCTGGTTTGTGTAAGACAGGAGCAGCTGTGTCAGGCATGTCTGTCTACATTTGATCAAGTGCCAGGGTGCTACTTTTTTAAAAAACAATTATTATTTTTATTTTATGTGTATGTGTGTATTGCCGGCATGTAGGTAAGTGCACCCATGTGGTGCAATGCCCTCGGAGGTCAGAAGAGGGCATCAGATCCTCTGGGACTGGAGTTAGGGACAGTTGTTAGCTGCCATGTGGGTGCTGGAATTCGAACCCGGGTCTTCTCAAGAACATTCAGTGCTCTTAACCACTGAGTCAGTTCTCCAGCCCCTGCCAGGGTGGTACTTAAATGAAGTTATTTTTAAAATGTTTTTGGTGTTTTGTGTATATGATGATTTTGCATGCATATATGTGCTATGTACACACAATACCTGTGGAGACCTGAAGAGGTCTGGAGCTGGAGTTATGCACAGTTAGCCACCATGTGGGTGCTGGGAACCAAACCTGGGTCATCTGCAAGAGCAGCCAGAGTGCCAGGCTGAGCCATCTCTCCAGCCTCCAGTAGGTACTCTTATCCACTGAGTCATTTCTTCAGCCCTAGTGAAGTTATTTTAAATAAAATTAATACAACATTAACTTCAGCTGAAGTTTTTGAATGTTGTAAAAAGAACGGCAGCTAGTGCAGGGGTTGGGACTTCACAGAACAGTGAAAATCAATCGTTCTTTTTTGTCTTTTTTGAGACAGGGTCTCCTTGTAGCCCCAGCTGTCCTGGAATCCACTATGTAGACCAGGCTGACCTCCAACTCACAAAGATCCACCTGCCTCTGCCCCCTAAGTGCTGGGATTAAAGGCGTGCACCACCACGCCAGGCTCAATCATTCTTTTAAGATGAAGCTTTCCACACTTGAACTCAGTTGAGTAATACATGCTAGTTCACAATGAAGAACCAGACCAGCTCATCTTCCCCCATCCAAATACGGCTTTTAATATGTCGGCTTCTCATCGAGCTGAAACGTGGGTCCTTTGAAAGGCAAAGTTCGCCGTGGGCAGGGCCAAACTCCGGTTAAAGAGTCATGCACTGAGTGGACTACAAAGGGTTGGCTGACTCAGTACTCGAGAGTACCTATGTGCGGGTGGGTGGCTGCGCTACGTGCAGTCACATGCTTGTTCTCTGCAGCCACTGTGTGCACTGTGGGGCAGCTCTTCCTCTTCCCCAGCTGAGGAAACTGCTCAGAACAGTTAGGTGGCTGGTCCTAGGTTATAGAGATGCAGCGGCTCTCCGGGATTTGACTCAAGACCTCCAGGTCTTCAGTGTTTGTTTTCCTTGATATCTCCTTCCTGCAGAGCAGATGCCAAACAAAAGGGCCCGAGTGAGTGGTGCTGGGAGAGGCAGTGTTTAAACGCTCAGAGCTTGACTCTTTTTCCCATAATGTGTTATTCACAAGGGTGCGGTGCTGTGCCCAGCCTCCTAAGGGAGCATTACTTATTCAGTAAAAATCACGCCTGCAGAAACCTCAGCTCCATGCTCAAATTCCTTCTTGATTCTGAAGTAGGACCTTCCCGATCTGTCTCGCGACTGGAGAGATTTTGGGTTTCCATCCGACATTGGTCTCTTGGGCGAATGCTAGGCATGAGATGTTGGGAGCGTGGCCTCACTCTAAGGCAGAGAAGCTGCTCGGGTCACTGGCACGGAAAATACCACGTGCAGTTGGGAACCTTTAGGCCGTGTGCCAGCTGCCACCCTCACTTTCCTACGTGAGATGGACCTTCCGGGGATAAAGGAAGCACCTTCTTTCTGGTACCATATTGTCCCACTTTGGGCTTGAGGTGGGTCTGAGACATCCGGGAGTCTGTGACTGACAGTTCACCACCCAGAAAGTAGAATGCTTTTATCGCCACTGAGTGACATTAAGTGGAGATTTACAAACATTTTGAGTTCTCAAAGACGATTGAGTTATCTCTACCTAACTTTAATTTTCTTTTTTCTAAGACAAAGTCTCACTATGTAGCTTAGGCTGGCGTCAAATCCAACACCCTCCTGCCGCAGCCTCCTGAGTGCTGAGGTTACAGGCATGCATCACCATACTGATCTTAGGTGGCCAGTGGAAGGATGCCATCTTAATTCCTTCAAGACACATAGCCCATCAACCTACTTAAATAGTGTGAAAGATTGTGTATTGAATTAAGGTTAATTTTCATTTTTGACCTTGTTTGATCTTTGGTGAACTTCACACTTAAGACAGCCATTGTGGAAGGAGTTTTAACTTATATTCTGGAGTGCCATTTTTTCCCCAGAATATTTGCAGAACTTAAAAAATATATATTTATTATTTTTGTTTTATGCATATGAATGTATTGCCTGCATGCAGGTAAGTACACCCCCCACCCCCGCTGTCAGTATCCACAAAGGCCAGAGGAGGATGTTTGATCCCGTGGAACTAGAGTTACAAATGTTTCTTAGCTGCCATGAGGGTGCTGGGAAATGAGCTCCAGTCCTCTGCAAGAGCAGCCAGTGCTCCTAACAGCTGAGCCATCTCTCCAGCCATGCCCCCCACCTCCCATCCCCAGAGATTTTTAAAAATGACATCTCAGTTAGGGGATGTTGTATCTTATTAGCCACATACACCAACAGACAGAAGAATAGTTGGGTGAAGTTACTTTAGAGTGGGTAAGTGCTGCGTTGATTAAAAAAAAAAAAAAACGTTTTTAGGTCTCAGTTTTGCATCTGTGTCTTGAGTGGAGCCACATCCCTTGAACTGATGTGTGGTGTATGTAGAGGTGAAAAGGTGGGTTTGGTTAAAGAGTGGAAGGGAGGTTTATCACTTGACCGGTTCTGGGGGAACAGGGCTTAGAAGGGGTCTATGTGGGTGTGTCTAAGAGCTTTAGAACAGCTGTCAGTTTCCCAGGTCTCAGCCTTCCTGGTCTGAGTACTCCTCCTGGGAAGCCTGTTCTCTTCAGAGTTGTGGGAGGAGGAAGCAGGAGCTAGCAGCTGGGGACGGATGGACGGAAGGATTCACCAACTATCTCGGCTTTGGAAATTTTGTTGGATCTGTGCCATAAAATGCCGGGGAGTAGGAATTTCCCAAGAAATTGTTTCCACAGACCTTCCTCTTCTGTTTGAAAGGGTAACAAATGTAAACTGGGAAAAACACAACCTTTCTAAAAAGGCGTAAGAACGAAAAAGGCCCCCTTTCATGGGCAGGGTGCTGTCTCAGCTGGGTCGGATTCTGGCCTGTGGGGCGGAGCTGAGCGGGCTTGGAAAGCCGGCATCCTGGAGTCCCCAGCACGCCCTGCACGTTGCACGCTCATTTCCTACTATTTTTCTGCTTATTCATCCTGTGGCCTGTGTCCCCTTGACTTGCTGGGGTTTTTTCCACCCTCCTGCCGGGAGAGATAACATTCTCAGGACTGAACTCGCATCTGATAAGCTCTATTTTTAGCGAGCCTTTCCTCCTGGCTTCTTATTTTCATAGGCTTTCTCTGAAGGTGTGAGTGTCCACTGGCACTCTCTTGTGCCTGGGTTTCACCGACTGGCAACAGCCTGCGGGGAGCTGGGAACCTGGTATGACTTGCAAGGGCCAGGGACACTCCTGTGGGTAGGGTGCTGCTCTTGACAGCCAGTTCCTGCTCGCTCACCGCCTGCTTCCCCTCTAGGCTGTCTGTAAATTTCCTTTTGTCAGTAAATTTATGTTATCTTGATGAAGGACACCCGCTTTAAAAAACAAGACAGCTGTGACTTGCAGTGATTAGCACTGCTGGCCCTGTGTCCTCACAGCATAGCTCTGCAGCCATCAAGACTGGGCGTTCCCATGGCGATCTTGCCATTGAGATTTAATCAAAGTAGCCAGTTGTTCCCTGGATAAAGAGAGTTTGGGTTTGTGTTAGCTGTCACGTGACCTCTGTGTGTGTGTGTGTGTGTGTGTGTGTGTGTGTGTGTGTGTGCTTTCCCAGACAAGTATGTTGGGAATAAACTTATC